GCTAGCGGCTTGCTCGGCACCCCACAGATGGGCGCTCCGGGCGGTATGGAGCGAGCCACCTCCCCCCGCATCGGAGCCAACGGCGGAGGCCAGTTTGGCTTGGGTCCAAACGGCTCGTTCCCGCAGTCGGGTGCGCTGAGTCCCCGTCCTGGCGGCAATGGTCGCAATTGGAATGCGCCCAACAGTCGCAATGGACAGGACCCTGGCCCCGACCGTCGATGGAACCAGGCAAAGCCGCCCGCCAATTATCGCAAGGAGCAATCTGGCGTGAGCACCCTTGGTGTCACGTCAGCGCCTGGTCTTGATGACGGCACAAGCACCAACGGCACGTTGCAGACCGGCACCGGCCACGTCCAGCCCAACGCTATCGTGTCCAAGTGGGAGCACTTGAACCTCCACCCTGACTTGCTCCGCTCCATCCTCAAATATGGCCTTGGCCCTCCAAACAAGATCCAGCAGCGCGCCCTGCCTTTCCTCTTGCGCGGCAGCGACATCATCGCACAGGCTCCCCCAACCCAGGAACGCATCGCGTCGTACGTGATCCCTTCCCTGCAGCTGGTCCTCAACGTGCTCAATGAGACCGGCGGTCCTGGACAGACCGCTTCGAACCGCGGTCCTGTTGCGCTCATCGTTTCCACCACGGTGGACCAGGCTACCCAAGCTCAGCGCATGGCTCTTGGACTGGGCGCGCCGCTGGGCATCCGCGTGCACATGGTGGCCGCCAGCAGCATCGACGTGCATCAGGAGGCTCAGTCGCTCATCCAAGCTTGGCCGCACCTCGTGGTGGGAACCCCGCAGAAGATGAGCGAGCTCTTCACCTACATGACTAGCAATGCCTCCGCCCTCAGCGCTCATGGCAGCGGCCCAGCCGCCTCCGCAATGAGGCCGAGCGAGGTGCGGCTCGTCGTGCTGGACGAAGTCGACCAGCTCATCGCCCGAAACCTGGCTGATCACGTCAGCACCATGCTTCGTGTTTTGCCTCTGCCCTCCGCACCCGCTGGCTCGGCCGGTGACGCCAGGATGGCTGGCGCGCTCAGCCCCGGTGTACCTCAGGGCCCTCTGAACGGCGCTTCTTCGCCATTCGAGCAGGCGACGGACAATTTCGGCGGCTCAGCCAGCGCTCCCTCGACGATGGACCGCCAAGTTGCGCTTTTCTCCAACACCGTTCCGCAGGACGTGCTCAACTTTGCGCAGTCGATCCATCTGCGCGAGTCGGTGCGCGTGCTCGTCCGACGTGACGGTGCCGGCGGTGCCGGCAGCAGTATCCTGCAGGCACCTTCCAGCGGCTCTAATGTCAACGCTCCGAGCAATCTCGGCTCGGGAATGCAAGCGCCAGGCCCTCAGCGGGATGTATCGCAGCCGTCCAACGCGCTCGGTGCCCATCCCGTCAACTCGAGCATGAGCGCATCGAAAGATCCTCTGCTTGCCGCCCTCAAGGGGCTGCGACAGTACTACCTCTATGTGGCCGTCACGTCCAACGGCGGCGGCATGGGCGCCACCAGTCCGATCCCAGGCCTCACTCACAACCCCGCGGGCGAGATGAAACTCGACCTCATCTCGGATCTGCTCGAAGACATCGACTTTGGCCAGACGGTGATCTACTGCGCCAACATCGCGATCCAGGAGGCGCTCATTTACAAGCTCTCGTCCAAGGGAATCGAGGCGCTGGGACTGAACCGCGAGATGAACACGTACACGCGCCAGCAGACGCTGGCCAAGTTCCGTTCGCCTTCGTCGCAGTTTGGCACGCACACCATGATTGGCAGCGCTACCTTCGCTCAGCCGGGCGGCTTTGTGGGTGTGGCTGCGGGAAGCAGGACGCGCAAGGCGCTGGTGGTGTGCGACCTCGCAGTGAATCCAAAGGACGTCCACCAGATCCCGCTCATCCTCTTCTACGACATGCCACGCTCCGTCGAGGAGTACAAGGAGAAGATCAGCTGTGCTGCTGCCGGATCACTCGCAAGGCCGAGCGTGTGCGTCAATGTGGTCACTGCCTCGGGCGGCCCGCGTGGCGACGTCGAGATGCTCCGCACGCTCGAGTGCCACCTCGGCTGCAAGATGGCCGAACTCCCCATGGATTCCAAGCAGATCCTCAATTTTTGACCGACATCCACCATGTTCCTCCCATCCCGCTCCATCATTCCATTGCTACTTGTGGAGACGTTCCAAGCTCCTGATCCTTCACCCTGACCGTCCGTCCCACTCGCACGTATCTAGATACCCCTACAAAGCGCGCTGTATCTCGGCCAACGTCCTCGATGCGCCTCCGTTTCCCAATCATGATTCCAGCATCTTCACTCGACACAGTCGAGCTCAACACTCCTTGCATCGACCGCAAAAATCCTCGCCGTTTCGTTCTGTATTTCGAATCAACGTTTCGTTCCTTGTTTCATCGTTTGGCGCCGAGGTTCAGGTTGTTTGCGGACAAGTTTAGTGGGTGTGGTGGAGTTGGTTGGAGGCGACGCGTCCGGGACTCGGATTTCGCGCGGCGGCTTTCACGAGATGCAAAGTGTGGAGAAAGCAACGCTTAAGGCTGTTGGTCTTCCACCATCAACGCTTTCTCGGACTCATCAAGGATGGCAGACGAACAGAGCGGTAAGGGCAAGGGCAAGGCTCCTGCACGAGAGGGCGACGCCTCGCGGTCGAACGAGACTCGCACCAGCTCGGGCTCGGGGGACGGTGTGTCGAGTGCGGCGCTTTCGCTCGCATCGGCGCTGCGCAGTAGCATGGCATCGTCGCAGCTCGGTTCGCTCATGCAGTCGGCTTCCGGAGGCAAGACCGAATTCGCACAAGGCGGCTCCGGCAACGCGGATCTGCGCGAGTGGCTCGTAAGTGATCTTCGCGCCGGTGCGAACGCAAGCTCAGCAGGATCAACCACAAACGTGCCGGCAAAGCCGAGCTTCAGGTCAACATCGCAAGGCGCAAGCGCGGACGGAGCCGAGACAGAACACATGTTCAGGGAGTTTGAGCGTGGGCTTGCGCTCGACCAAAGCGCACTGCGCGCAGGGCCAACGGGCGAAGATGCGGCGCTCCAACAGGCTTGGGCGCTAAATACCAATGCGGGAGCATTGCAGGCTGGCGGATGGCGCGGCACTGGGATGGATCCAAGCACGACAGGGTCGATACACTCGTACACGGAGCTGGATTCGCCTTTGCATGCATCGGTACGCAAGGCCTACGCTGAGAGCTCTACCTCAGCTGGACAGGCTCAGCGTCCTTCCCGGCTTGGCTCGTTCCCAGCCACGGCGGCTCCACTTGCGCAGAGTGACGACATCTTTGCGCTTCTCGACGCCGAGGAGCAAGCCTCCTCCCAACCGAATCGCAACATCCCTGCCATGCCGCAAGATCCGACGAGTGCGCTTTCTTCCGAGGTGCTGTCGCGCTTCGATGCGGCGTACCGCGCGCCGTCGCCGTCCAACAGCGGGTTCAGCCGGGAGCAAGCGGCAATGCATTTGTCTCTGGCCGAGGCGCAAGCGTCGGAGCAAGGGCGTCAGGAGCTGGCCGTTCCACGTCCAGACAACTCGTCCGCGCAAGAGGGCGTCTATGCGCCGACTGCAGAAGCCGCACTTGCAAGCATCCTCGACGGTCGACCCGAATCGTCCGATGTGATGGAGACGCAGACACACGACCAGGAACGTGGCATCGCCGTGGTTCGCAAGATCACCCGATACTTTGGCGCGTCCACATACCTCGACGATGTGTACGGCCAATCACCTCTGCTGCGAGAGACGATCGAACAGGCAACACAGCCAGCAGACGATGCCAAGAGCGAGCAGAACAGGCAGAAAGCGATTCGCCGCCTCGAAAGCCTCTGGAGCCACCTCACCAACACGCCTCCTCAGCCTGAATCCTCTCGCGGCTCAGACTGGGTGGATTCTTGGCTTCGCTCACACACGTGATTTACACCATCTAATCTTTTTACCATCTATGCAGTTTGTTGAGAGTGTGCGGTGGCGAGGCGGGCGGCTTTCTTGTCGTAGTACACGCGGCGCATGACCTGCTTGATGCGCTCGAGCGCATACAGCTCCACATTGGCCTGTGCGGTCTTGAGCAGCGTCTCGACCTGGGCGGGTGTCCAGACGAGGTTGTACGAGTTGCTGAACGGCGCTGTACTCGGGTCGTAGCCAGGATTGGTCGGATTCGGAAGCAGAGGACAGTAGACCAGCCAGAAGGTCGATCCGTCGACGTTGCGAGTGCCGCGCAGGACGCGCGCGTACTGCTCGATGAAGCGCGCCTCGAGCGCACAAGCAGTCTCGTCTTGAAGAGACGCGGGCGCGGTGCGATCGAACTGGTCCGTCTCATCGGTGAGCACCACATTACAGTCGTCGGCAAAGTTGTGGATGCGCCGCATCGCCGAACCCGCCTGCACGTCCGACGAAGCGTCAAAGGCGATGATGATGTCCGCCCCGCGCTCGGGTCGTGCAAGGATGTGGTTCGGCAGATTGTTCGACATGCCGGCGTCCATTAGCCGAATGCGTCCCTGTGACTCCCACGACGCAAACGCGTCCGAAGCTTCAGGCTTCACCTCTGCGTCACGACAGTCGGCGATAGCGGAGCTATCCATCCCCAATTCCACCGCAGCGCCGTCCTCGAGGTGGTCCAGATCCGCAGATCCGCTCGCCGAAGATGCGGGAAGCCTCACTTGGAGTTCACGCCACTCGTCGACGTCTTTGCGCGGAAGTATGCTCGCCGGACGTATTGTCTGGGCGTCATTAGAGCCGCCAGCTTCCTCAGCGAGCACATTGGCGACGACGTATTCGCCGTCATGCGACAGGCTAAGATGCAGGTACGGAACGGCAGTCGCGCCCGGATGCTTGGAGCGCCACTCGTCGGAAAGCGTGAGCTCGGGCTTCCTGGTGCGGAAACCCTGCTGTTCGAGGCGCGATAGGTCTACCGCATCGATGGGTCCCGACGTCGTGTGGGCCGAACCAGGCTTGTGCACGCACAGATCCTTCCAAGACAGCACGAAGCGCGGATAGAGTGCCTTGTAGGCTGCTTCCTTGGCGGCCCATCGAACGGATAGGTACCTTTGGAGCCGGGGGACAGTTTCGGCCGCTTCGCGCTCTTGCCGCGCCAGCTGCTCGTATTCGTCCATCTCAGAGTCGCACAGTATGCGTTTGGCTAGTCTGTGCATGGCGCTCGATTCAGCGTCTGCCTCCGTTGCAGTCAAGGATGAGGAGAGACGTTGGTGTGTCTGCCGCCTGCGCACGAGCGCCTCGAGCCGAGGCAGATGCAGAATGTCGATTCCGATGCCGATGATCCGGGCCCGCTGAGTGTTGCTCTCCAGCGCTTTGGGGATGGGCGCGACGTTGAGGCCGTAGAAAGGATTCGGTTCGTCGCCGGCGCGGATGGGATTGCCCCAGCGGCGCTCCCACCGCTTCATGCGGACAAAGTTGTTGAGAAAGTGCAGCAGTCGCGACATGAGCGTGCCCTTTGGCAAGGACGCCAGCAGCGCTGAGATGTAGCCAGTCAGTGGTCCGGCGGGCGCACTGGTGCACTGACCCAGCAGGAGCGAGAGCGACTCCTCTGGTCTGCGTTCGAGAGAGCGACCCGAGACAAATGGCCGTCCCCACGCCCACGTCGGGATGTAGCCCTGCGCATCGGCGCTTCCGACCTCGAGTGGAGTGGCCTCAAACCATTGGAAGTAGCCCTTTGCCGCGGGAAGTGCATAGACATCGGTACGGTCGTCCGTTGATGCTCGCGCTTCAACACCACGCGGAAGCTCCGACGACTGCTGATGCGCCTGGTTGTCAGCAAGCGCCTGGGAAGCCGCCGACTGGTGCTGGGTGAGCGCGCGCTTCGGAGGTTGACCCTTGCTGAGCGATGAGTCGGTGTGCGGACGAACTCCTGGCGCATCTTGAGGCGCCACACGGACAGCCGTGAATATGGGCATTGGCTCGGCCGCCGTGCTGACGCCAGAGCGCGACCAGACCTTGGAGAATTGGAAGCTGGCTCGGCTGAGCCGCGCGCGTGGCTCGCGAGAGAGGAACTGGTAGGTCGTGGTGAGCGTGGCATACAGGTCCATGATGCCGAGACCAACAATTCCAGCCTGAGCTTTGCGGATGAGCGGGCCGAGCAAAAAGTATACGCCACGGCTGCTGCGCGCTACGGTGTCGAGTGCGTGCACGCTCATCGGGTGCGCAAGCTCGCTAGCCACCGCCAAATAGTGGCGCCCCAGCCGGTCTGCATTCTGGTAGGCGATGGTGTAGTAGGCGGCTAGAGTCCAGCAGCTTCCACTCACTCCTCCGGCCCATGAGAGGCAGTCCCACAGGCCCGCCCGTTTGGCTGCAGCGATGAAACCGGCAAAGCCATACATGGCGCGGTATCCACCTCCTGAGCCGCCCAAGGCCACCAGGGGCACGTCGAGAGGATGCACATCTTCGCTCTTGGCAAGTCCGAGCAAGTGCTTCAGGCTGTCCTCTCCCTGTGAAGAAAGCCGCTTCTGCCGCTTGGCCAGGAATCTGGCTTCTTCTGGGTGAAGCGCCGAGGACCGCCTCACGGTTGCATCCCAGTCAAGCTCGGGGTACGCCTTAAAATCCTCGCCATCTGCACGCAGGAGCTGCTTGACATGAGCGAGATCCCTGGCACGTTGCGACCATCGCTGCCAAAGCTTCTTGACCAGCGATCCTGATTCGCTTGATCCGAGTACGTCGCTGGAAATGACCAGCTCGTTGGACGAGTTGCCGCTTGCATCTTGCTGAGCTGCAATTGCGGTGGCCGGAAGGGAGCTAGTCTCTTCTACTGGAACGATACGTGGCCCGAGCCTCGTGCGTATGACTCGGTACTGACTGAGTTGAAGCTTTTGACCGATGCGCGGGATGCGAGACGTCACGGGAGCCGCTTGGAACAGTGTCACAAGCGCACAGACGCAGTAGACCTTGACATAGAGATATGTCGGGCTCTGGCGCAGCGTGGTCAGGACAGGCATCACCTCCGTCCTGGCTCCATGTTCGCCGAGTGCCCGCTGCGTCGACGATTCTTCCACTGCGGTTGCGTTGAACAAGCCAGTCGGTCGGGCTAGTGGTGGGTGTGGTTGATGGTGACGTCCACGACGCAGAGGGTGTCCACGTTCATCCGCGCAAACAGCCGAGCTGCAGCTGTCACCACATCCGCGGATCCAGCAGCGGCACCCTGAGCCTCTCCACTTTTGTCGGCCACCTTTTTTTTGGGGCTTTTTCTTTTTTCGGAGCATTTCCACGAGGGCAGCCGCCCCCACCCAAGGTCAGCAACGAGCTGGGACTGCTGCGCATCCTTCCGACGCCACCACAGCCACGGTCATTATCTTCGACTGCATCAACTGGTCCGATTCACTGCGACACTTCGAGTCGTCGACGGCGCTGTTCAATCGAGGATGCCGACATTCGAGTCGAAGCCTTTGCGCAAGTCCAGCTCGTTCGTGGCGAGGCTGGCTCCGCAAGTGCGTCGAAGGCCTCTGCTCTTCTTTGGGATCCCGTTTATTGCCACCATCGTCGGTGCGAGCTTTGGCCTGGCCAACTTGACCCAGACCCGCTACGACTACAATGCAACCAAGGTGCAGACGATATCCAAAGAGGAGGAGCTGCGCATGAAGAAGGACCGCAAGAGGATCGACATTCGCGAAGAGTACTTTGTAAGTATCCTTCGCCCCCTTATTTGCAGTGCACGGCAATGACTCGAACAACTTGCAGCTGACACCATCGTTCTAAACCTTTTTGCTGTTCTCCCTCATCTTTAGAAACTGCAATCCAAGCAAGATGAGCTGGACGAATGGGAGCCCAAGAGGATCGAGCGTCCCGATGGCGTCGCAGAGTGGGGTGTCGCGCCTGCCAACTACCGATCGATCGAGGCCGAGGGCCTCTCACCTCGCGATGCCGAGCAGGAGAAGAACAAGGGCATCACAGCGGAGAACGTGCAATCGTCTCGAAAGCAGCCACCGGTGGTGCTTGGTCCGGACGGCAAGCCTTGCCGTGCTTGCAACTCCAAGCTTGCCTTCGCCGCTGCCATGAAGGGAGCGAAGCAACCATCTAGCACTAAGACTGGCACATCGTCGGGAGCGGTCAAGGCCGGAGCTGGTGCCGCACTCGCAGCATCTGCGTTGAGCACCGACTCCGACGCTCCACAGAGTCGAGCTTGCCCTCCGGATGGCGAGGAGCTGGGTCGATCTGCCTGGACCTTCTTGCACTCGGCCGCTGCCTACTTTCCGGAAGACCCGTCGGCGCAGCAGCAGACATCGATGCTCGCTGTGTTCCGCGCGCTCCCTCACATCTATCCGTGCCACTCGTGCGCCGAAGCTCTGGGCGAAGAGTACAAGCGCGAGAAAACGGAAGGTGGCTGGGAAGATCGCAGCTTGCGGCTGTCCGAGGCGGTGCGCTCGGGTCCGGCACTGCGCAAATGGCTATGCGGCATCCACAACGAAGTCAATCAGCGTCTCGGCAAGCCCACTTTCCCATGCACCGAAGCCAAGCTCGCGGAAAGGTGGCTCGACGGTCCCGCGGACGGCAGCTGCGATTGATCGCAAACATCGGCATAGGATCTGGCATGTGTATACCACCCCTCACGCTCGGCATCTAGCATACTGCACTATGTACTTGTATCCCATCTGTCACTCATCCACTATCGAGTGCAGCTGTTGCCCCCCACGAGGCGGAAGGTAGAGGGTGCTCTCCTCGCCATTTCGAGATTGGATCGGCGGCGGCAGGATCGGGAAGAGGATGTTGGCGCCCGATGAGTCTGGTTGAGCCGCAATTTCACGCGCTTGGATGGCAGTGGATTTTGATTGGCCGTCTGGCGGTGACGCTCGCATGCAGCTCGTCGTTTGAATGCGCCTGCCCACCGCCCAACCCAGCATCCGGCATTTCACGCTTCCCTGTGCCGGTGAGACCACTTTGTGCTTCGATGCAAGCAAGGTTTTGCCAAGGGGCTCCGCCTTGTTCACTTTCCCTTTCGACTGTCAGGGGCGCCAAAACGCAGTATGGACCTGGGTGACCTACAGTGTGACTAGATGGAGGAGCTCGGAAATAGTCGGCACAGAGTCAAGGCCGGACTCTACGGGGGAATCAAGGAATACACGATGACCACAGCGGTGCGGAGACTTTGCGGCTCTAAGCCAGGGCAGAAGGGCGCGACTCGTGCGCGTGGCATGCGGAGAAAAACAAAACGAGCAGCGACTCCCGGGCGAGATTCGGCGAGGGGAACCGAGCAAATTGGAAGAATCGCATTTGCCCCGCCTGGAGAGCGGAGCGCGCTCGGCTGAACCGGGTCATCCGGTGGGATCTCCCGCCGCCGCCTCGAGCCCAGAAATTGGCCGAGCTCGATTCAAGCTGAAACGCACACAGCGCAAAGCAGCTTGGCGGGGGCGCAGAGATGACTGACGAGGCTCGCAAGCGAAATGCATCCTCTCATGCCGGCTTTTCAGCGGATTTCTAGTCCGGGGTCAACGAGGCAGCAACGCAAGCAACCCTCTCCGCATCATTTCTCCCCCCTTCTTCACCAGTCACCATCACCGTCAAGCCTGTCCACAGAAGCGATTCCTCATCTGGCTCCCATCGATCCTGCGTTTCGGAGCAAAGCTGCCTGCAAAACTAGTACGGTCAAGCTTGCGTGCACGTTCACCCACTACCCGCATAACATCACATAGCCATAATGGCCGACGATCAGACCACAGCAGCCATCAAGGACGAGGAGTTCGAGCAGAAGAAGCAGGCCACCTCGTCCGTCAAGTCCTTCCTCTCCGGAGGCTTCGGTGGTGTCTGCTCCGTGCTTGTCGGACACCCCTTTGATCTTACCAAGACTCGTCTGCAAACGGCCGCCAACGGCACCTACACAGGAGGTCTCGATGTCGTCCGAAAGACCATCAAGGCCGATGGCATCAAGGGGTGAGTATGGGTCTGCAATTGAGTCGCATTTCGACGCACGCTAATGGGACGAGAAGCTGACTTCCTCCCGCTTTTCTATGATTGCGTATCTCGACAGAATGTACCGTGGTATGGGCCCACCCCTGATCGGAGTTACTCCCATCTTTGCGCTCTCCTTCTGGTCGTACGATATGGGCAAGAAGCTCGTCTACGCGATGACCCCTGGCCGCACAGATCCCAAGCTTTCGACAGGCGAGCTTGCCTTTGCTGGTTTCTTCAGTGCCGTCCCCACCACCCTGGTGGCAGGCCCCGCCGAGCGAGTCAAGGTGCTCCTCCAGCTCCAGGGCCAGAGCGGCAGCACCGGCCCTACCTACAACGGACCCGTCGATGTCGTCCGTCAGCTGTACAAGGAGGGCGGTCTCAAGTCGATCTTCCGCGGCACCGGTGCCACGCTGGCACGAGACGGTCCCGGTAGCGCCGCCTACTTCTGCGCGTACGAGGTCTCGAAGCGCATGCTCACGCCTGCCGGCCAGGACCCTCAGCAGCTCAACTTCCTCAACGTGCTCACCGCAGGTGGTCTCGCTGGTATGGCCATGTGGGGACTCGCCATCCCTCCCGATGTCATCAAGTCGCGCTACCAGGGCGCTCCCCACGGCACCTACTCGGGCTTCCTCGACTGCGCACGCAAGACCGTCGCCCAGGACGGTGTCAAGGCGCTCTTCAAGGGCTTCGGCCCCGCCATGGCGCGTGCCTTCCCTGCCAACGCAGCCACCTTCGTAAGTAGCGTCCGCTCGGAGTGCTCGCCAGACTCAAAGGGACTGCCACTAACACCTTCAATTCTGCGTCTCTGGTTTATTCGCTTCATGTCCGTCTGGCATACAGCTTGGTGTCGAGGTGTCTCTCTCGGTCATGAACAAGATGTTCTAGACTGCCGAAACATCCGCAGGAAATCTGTAACAGCAGCACTGAGACCCAGCGATCTGCACTACACACGAGCCAATCCTTTCTTTGTACTTTTCGAACATGGTCACGACCTAGACGACGAAAATTCAGCCTCTATAGATCCCATTGCCAGGCTACAAGCACCAACATGACCGAGTCTCTGTTGTCTTGTCAAGCGTAGGGTTTCGTGAAGGGCGTTTTCGCGTGTGACAAGGGCAGGTGCAGTGACCCCAACTAGCGACGGTGAGTTGCTTTACGCCCTGCGGCATGCCAAGACACGCGCTTCGATTTCGGGATTTCGCAATTTCACAGGAATGCGTGCGCTCAGACCAGCGGCCCTGCTGTTCGTTATGAAAAAGCCGGCTCAATTGCGAAAGAATTCGCTCGGGAAGGACCCTGACAAATGCAAGCTTCCTCCGTCCATCATCTTGGCCACGGTTCGGACATCTGGCACAAGCACCGTTTCAACATCGAAGCTCTTGCACAGGCCAGGGCTTAGATATTGACAGGATGAAGGGCTCCAGTAGCGAGCCAGGGCCTAGCTCTGCGCCGAAGCTTTCGCTGCTTCCATCCAACGTCCTTACCATCTTCCTCGCCAGCTTCCATGTCCGACACGGCAATCAGATCGACTATCAATACCCGCCCGCTCCGAAGTCAAGCAGTACCGATGAGGCCCTTGTCGATGTCACAGATGACACAGCGCAGGAAGGCGATGCGGACGACGAAAACACCGGTGTCGACCTTTCGGGCGTCGAGTGGAAGGTGCTTCCCAGTGGCGGACATTTGATCAACGAGGACGTCATCTACTTCCAGACCTCGCGCCCAGGAAGTATCGGCGTGGCGTGCTTTCGCAAGGTCGATCTCGACAACGAGGATGCAGATGCAGCAGCGCAGAGGGGTGCGCGGATGGTCAGCGCCGGCTTGATCCTCCAGTGTGAAGGACCGGCAGACCAGCATCCCTCCGGTCTGGCTCAGCAACTGGCTATCGTTCCGCACGTCTCGAACCTCAAGAAGCTGGCAGAGGAACTCGCTCATGATCCCGAAGATGTTCGTCCTCTTCGTGCATACTACGGCACCCACCGTGCCTGCAGCGCCGCTGCGGACGTCACGCTCGACGGCAAACGCATGAAGCAACTGCGCATGCGAAGACGTCGTGACCCACGCAACCTTCCACACGATCCGATCTCACATATGCCTGCACTGTGCGGCTCGCTGGGCGCTCTGCTCCCTCACCTGCTCAAAAAACTCATGCTGCCACGCCACCGATTGCTCATCTTCTCGCCAGCCCCGCCCATCGCCAATGCCGCCCACCTCGGGTACAACCTCGCAGATCTTGTAGCGCTCGCGGTGGGCAGATCAGGCAGGCGCCACGAGAACTTGCTTGCGCTTGCGCAGCGCGGCATCATCGACGTTCGTGGGCAGATTGGCGTACATGACATTTCGGACCTGGAGCAGGAGCAACAGCAGCACACAAAGAGCCATGACATGCTACCTCAGCGCAGCTGGATCGCCTGGTCCACGGATAAGATCCTGCTCGAGAAGCCGCATCTGTTCGACAGCGTGCTCGATCTGACTCCTCTGATCACACGCGACTCGCGCGGCGTGCTGGAAGAGGCTCTGATGGAGACGTCGTCGACCGGCGCGCGACTCTTTACCGTAGTCCGACCTCCGGCGACGGAATCGGGCAAACGCGGCGGCGGCGCGCAGCTCAAGGCTGAAAGCTGGACCACACGAGAGTTCGCCACATTCAACGAGCTCGACGCACAGGCGCAGCGCAATGCCGAGCGAGCGGAACGCTTGGGCGCTGCTGCATGCATCAGCCGGCGCAGGTCGAGGAACAAGCTGCTGCGGTCCAGCTCGTACCGCTCCGAGGAGGCCCAGGAGCGCTCGTCGCGCGATATCGAGTATACGCATGCGCAGGGCGATTCAGTGTCGCAGTGGCGGGGTGGTTGCTCGCCGCGCCGCAGCGGCGCTGGTACGTTGAGCGCCGCGCTCGCCTTCTTACGCTACTGGTTGGCCGGATGGTGGTTCCTACCGCGACACTGGCGGTACGGCCTGCCGGCGGCGTACGTGCTGCCGCTGGGCATCCGAGGCGACGGAGGCGTGCGTGCCAGCATCCTGGTCATGCCTGAAGACGAGAGCGACGACGAAGACCTGGACGACGAGGAAGACCGCGAGATCGCTGCGGAGGACGAAGCGGAAGAGGAGCGCCGCAGTGCCTTGGAAGCCGAGCCGGTCGACGGAGCGGGACGAGCGGACGAACACGTGGCGGCGCGCTCGCGCGTGGCAGCGGTGATGGCGGGAGATCAACAGACGGGTACCAACAGCTCGTCGGACACTGAGGAACTGGAGCTGCATCGAGGCCACGCGCACCATCTCATCCCGCCCGATCCGCTGCTGGCGGCGGTGGGTGCGAGCCCCGTGCGCGGGTCGGGCGTGGCCGAGTCGGACCGACTGTCGATGTCGCATGCGTCGTTGCGTCGGCGCAGCACGGACCGCAGTGCATATGCGCGCTCGGTGGGCGGCAGCGAGGGGCAGCACGAGCTGGGCGCGTGGTACAGCGACGAGCAGGACCGCTTCCACTCGATCCTGTCCGACTCGCTCTGGATGGTGTGGTCGCACTGGACCGCGGCGCTGGTGTCGGGCCTGCTCGATATCCTCGAGGACCGGCTGGCGCAGATCGAGCAGGAGGACGACGCGAGCCTGAGCGAAGAGGCCGACGTGTCGGCGCTGCTCATCTCGCGCGTCGCCGAGGGGCTCGAGATGTCGCTGGGCCCGGCGGATATGGCTTCGCTCGGCCTGAGTGCAGGCAATCAGCTCGATGTGCAGCTGGTGGAATCGCTCGGCTCGACGTGCCTCCAGCTGCTCACGTCGTCGATCTGCGACGGCGTGTGTCAGCCGCGCGTCAAAGTCGATCGAGGCTGGTCGCTCTTTCGCTGGATCCTGTAGAGCTTCTATCCTCGTCATGGGAGGATAATCGAAAAGCTGCAGTGTGACGGTAATGGTATCCGTGATTTCAAGCTGATCCGTGTGCTGGCTGTGGTGTTGGATCCGATGTGGCTGCAGCGGGAGATGTGGGTCCGGGTGGTCTGCTGGTGAGCAAGCGGATCTGCTCGGCGTCTTCTTCATCGTCGCCATCATCGTCCGCGTCTTCTTCATCGTCGTCGGCTTCGTCCGCATCCTTGCTTGCTGGGTGGAGCAGCTCTGCGATGGTTTCTGCGATCCTGCCTGCGGCCTGTTTGCCAAGACGGCCGTCGGGACTGAGCACGCCTGCGGTAGCGTCCGGTTCCGCGGCGCCGGCGACAATGTGGCGGACGAGCAGGTCGAAGAGCGACGCTTCGCCGTGCGATTCGCGCTGCGGGTGCGCGACCGGTTCGGACTCGAGCAGCTGGAGCAGTTTGTCCTGTTGCTCGCGTGGTGCGAGGAAGCGTAGCCGGTCGTGCTCCTTCTCCACCTGTTGCTTGAGCGGCTCGGCGAGTGTCGCCAGGAACGCAGCTTTGGAGCCAAGCTCCATTCCCGCTTTGGGTGCAGATGGTGGGAACGCCGCAGAGGGCGCCGGCATCGAGGACAAAGCTGTTGCTGTCGAAGCCGAGATAGTTGGTGCCGAAGCTGATTCTGCCTGGACCGCACTGATTGACGCGGGCTGAGTGCTGTCCGACTTGCTAGGATCTGCAGAGGCCGGTTGAACTGCTGCGGAGGGTGGGGCTGCATTGGGCGGACGCGCCGAAGCAGGACCAGCGGCGTTGAAGGCTTCTATCATCTGACGACGGAGCTGATCGATATAGCCACTGTTTCTCAGCTCCTGCAATACCTGTTCGGGCGTCAGGCCGGTGACGGCCTGCCTGGAGGGGGGAGGATGCGCATCTAAACCGGTCGCTTGTTCCACCGCTGCAAACGTTGCGGCGTCAACGTGTGTCGGCGCGGCTGATGTCACTTCAGCTGCGCTCGATGACAGCGGAGCTGCATCGTTCGGAACTACCGACACACTCATCTGAAGGTCGGAGATGCGGCGTTGGTCGTGCTGAGTGGGAACGGCGCGGTGGGAAGAGGTGGGAACTCCAGCCTGAAGACAAACACACAGGACCCTGACGGCGCGCTCGCCCGTCTTCCGAGAAGCTGGGGGACGCGAAGAAGCGCGTCTGGCTGGCTCGGAACCCTGTCTCCAAAGCCTCGCGGCAGTGCCGACAAGCGTGTGACAACTGCATCACATCTTCGAACAAGGACGGCGTTCTTACATCAGACAGTCGGAAGAAGAATATTCACTCAGCCAGCCGCAATCAATGTGACCCTGCTCAGAGTCAATGGGCTCGGAGTGTGGGAAAGGCAACTTTGATTCATCATCTAAAGGCAGCGGGCACGTAGAAAGGTGAGAATGAGTGTCAGCAGCATGCACAGGTGCAATCACTAGCATCTTCGCCTTCCGACAGCCTCGACTTCCTGCGGGCCGAGGCGCCACCGTTCTCGCATGGACCGAATCAGAATCCGATGTAGATATCAACAAATGTCTGTCGCTTTTTTAGCACAGTTGCCCTGCGACAAGCTGCGTCTTGCTCCCGCCGCTCAATTGTACACGAGAGCTAAGCAAGGAGAAGAGAAGAGAGCAGAGGTGTTTATGTCCGCCCATCGGGGTAATATCATCCCTTGAAGGTCCAGCGCGGTGTGTTGCCACGGCCGAAGCGACGAAGCCTGCGTTGCAACAAAAGCGACTGTGCCGAGCCGTGGAGAGCGCTCGATTCGGAGCTGAAGATGAGCACTTACTCTTACTCAGAATGACCAGCCCTCAGAGGCCGATGTGGTCGTGAAGGAAAGTGCAAATCATCAACTGCCGAATAGAAGTCGCTACGGCAATTTTTTCTTTCTCTTCCCACCGCCTACTTTTTTGCGCTCGCGGATACGCGCGAGAGAAATCGCAAGCTCGGGTTGCGGGACTTGGTCCCGCAGAAGGAGGCCTCGAATGGGCACGAGGTTTCCTGACAGCTGCTTCTGGACCCTGCTCTGCTTCCTCCCTACGCTTACACTGCTCTCATCGTCGTGACCGCTCGTCAAAATGTTTGCATCTGCGTCAAGATCATCAGCTATCAAGTCTCTCTACCAGAATGTTCTGAAAGAGGCTGAGCGCTCGGTATGTCGCCAATCTCATCCTGCAACCGTACAAGCTTTCGCTTAGCTGACCCGCCGCCCAAACCGTTCGGAATTTGTCGACAGGCCAAGACGGGCCCGCTCGTCTCCTACTTGCAACGAGAGTACAAGGACCTCGAAAGTGGAGCAGCAGGAGAAGACAAGGTGAAAGCGACCTCGGACTACATCCCCTTCGTTGCGCCTGCCAAGAGCGCACCAGAGCTCCGTCAACAGAACCTCGAGAACCTCCACGTCTTCTTGCAGAACAAGGCGCTACACGCTGTATGTGCCGCTCCCCTGTTCCGCCTCATCCGTGGTCAACGTAACCCGTGCTGACCCTGCTTCTGATCCTTGGATGGACACAGGAACTGCTTCAACGCTACAACCCAACCTCTGGGCTCACGGAGGAGGAGCGTGTCAGGCTCACAGCACGCAGGGTGGGTCTCGACGTACCCATCACCCACAACCCGTCCGCCGAGTCTTCCGAAGCAAGCAGCAACTACAGAGAGAGCGCAAAGATCGCTCAGGACCAGTACAAGCAGGACAAGGATTCGCGAGAGGACCAGCTTTATTCCGGCAAGGGTGACGGCCTCAACGTCGGAGGTCCGCTTCGACCGCCGGTGAACAAGGAATAGTGTGTATTCGACCCTCTAGCAAACATCCATCATAGTCCGTATTCTTCGAACTTGGCTGCCACCTTGGCGACTTCCACATTGCCGCCGCTCCAAACGACGCCGATGCGGATCTCGGGCTGCTTTTCGCCGGCTTGGGCCTTTTGCTGAGCGATGGCTCGTACCCAGTGCTTGAGACCCCACAGCGACCGGTCGGACGGTGTATCCGCATCGGACGAAGCACCCAGCTGCTGTGCTGCTTCGTTGAAGCCTTGCAGGAGAGTGGCGAGGCCCACAGCAGCGCTTGGCTCCACGAACTGCTTCTGCCTCGTCCAGTGAAGTTGTAGCGCCTTGAGCACGTTCTCCTCGCGCGCAGTAACGATGGTGTCCACATTCTTCTGGATGTGCGACAACGTGAGTGGCGAGAGCGAAGTCAGCAGGCCGTCGCAGATCGTCTTCGGCGGCTGCGGCGGTGACTGCACCTCGCCAGTCTGGACGGAATGGAAGGCATCGTTCACCAGGTCTGGCTCCGCACCGATGACAACGATGCGGCTGTCCGCTCCCTTGACAGCAGTCGAGACACCGGAGAGCATGCCGCCGCCTCCGACCGGCGCAATCACGATGTCGAAGACCGGTTCGGAGGGATCACGCGCACGCCACGTACCGTCCGCTTTCGGGCCAACGGCGACCACGTTCTTGGAGCCAAACAAGGGCCTGGAAGTGCTTGACTTGGACTCGGCTGCATGCGAGCATGCTCCGCGCGATTCGAGGTTGGGAGCTTGGTCGAGCATCTCGAGTGCCAAGGTGCCCTGACCTGCGATCACTAGCGGTTCATCGTACGGATGCACAAAGCGCACCGTGTAGCCTTGCTCCTCGTAGCTGTCCATGACCGCTTTCGCTGTAGACTCGCGAGCTTCGAGCGTGGGTTTGCACAACGTGATTCGCGCTCCGTATCCTGCCACCGCCTCTTTCTTGGGCTTCGGCGCGTTCTCGGGCATCACAACCGCAGCAATGCAGCCGGCAGAGCGTGCAGCACATGCGAGCGCAGCAGCATGGTTGCCGCTCGAGTGCGTCACCACGACGAGCCGGTCGGCGCTGAACTCGCCCTGCTGGGTGGTGTCAGTTTCGCGCTGGGCTTTCGCAGCCTCGAGATGGACGAGCACCGAGTTGGTGGCTCCGCGATACTTGAAGGCACCCACCCGCTGCAGATGCTCCGCCTTGAACGCCACGCGCACTCTCGGAGAAGAGGCTTCGGTCTCTGCAAACAGAGCCTCGGTGACCAGCGAGTCGACCGCTTGGTTGGTAAGCAGCGGCGTGTAGTGGGTGAAAGGCGCCACGCGAGCGTGCGCCTTCTGGATGTCCTCCAGGGACACCAGATTTGCGCTTGAGCTGGACGGTGTCGACATGATGGCACACGAATCCAATTTGAAGAAGTTGGGAGGGGAGGGCGGAATCAACACTGGCCCTCCTGTGTTATCCAGATATGCGCAGCATAGCCCCTCCGTGACCGCTCTTCGGACATTTGGTTGGCTCGACATCGGCGTTCTAGACGGCTTTCCGCAGGAAGCCCAATCTTCTTTTCGCACGACAAGTTGCAGACAAGGTCTAACACTCCACAACAAAAAGGCTCCACATGCCGCTGCTGCGTAGGGAAGCTGGAAGAATCGGGGTTGCTTTTCCTCGATTTTCAGCCGGCCAAGGACAGCTGCAGCCGGTGGGCCAGTCAAGTTTCAGCGACGGATGAAGCTTTGCGCACGATGAGGGCGAGGTACCTTTTCAGATCGAAGGCTCTACGCACAGCAGAGGCTGTCTCTGCGAAAGGGAAAAAAACGGCGGCTCGCTCTGTGTCACGGCTGCAGCTCAGCCAGATCGGTCCTTTCTTCTCGAGCTGAGTCCCCGTCTCTGGCCGGTGTGCCGTAGCGTGGAAAAGCTGGGATCATTCGGCGAGCGCATACTCCACACCGAGTCCACCCCTGCTTCTTCCTGCCTTTCCGCACCATTTCCCCTGGACCTTCGCACACCTCCCCCTGCAAGCGCGATCCCAGAACCATGGCGCCGCTTCCCAACGCTCAGCAAGCCTCGCAGCAGGCTGCCCGAGCTGCTGACCGCGCTCAGGTCACCGCCAACAACACGGCCAACAAGCTGTCCAAGTGGGTCGAGGAGAACCGAACTCTCGTCATCGCGCTGGCTACCGGCACTCTCGCACTCGGAGGCTACTATCTATACTCTCGATCCTCGTCCAAGGCCAAGGCCAAGGGCACCGCCAGCGACAGCGACGACGAGGAGAAGGCAGGCTCCGCCGGTGGCGCCGCATCCGCCTCGGCCAGCAAGAAGAAGAAGAAGAAGGGCACCAAGAAGAAGGCCGGTCCTGCGGCCGGCGGCTCCTCCTCGACCGATGCATCCGCACAGCGCTCGGACGGCCTGCCATCCGACCCTTCCGGACCGCTGCTCGACGAGGCCACCGACGACCAGCTCGCCGAGCTGCCCGAGTCCGAGATCCTGAAGCTGCCCCAGGAGAAGCGCGAGAAGCTGTCGCAGCACCTCAAGACGCTCGGCAACAAGGCCTACGCCAACCGCCAGTTTGAGAAGGCCATCGCACACTACACCAAGGCGATCGCCGCGCATCCCATGGCGGTCTTCTACTCGAACCGTGCCGCCTGCTACTCGAACCTCGGCAAGCCCGAGCAGGTGGTGGCCGACTGCGACGAGGCGCTCAAGATGGACAAGGTGTACGTCAAGGCGCTCAACCGACGAGCCGTGGCCAAGGAGCAGCTGGGCAACCCCACCGAGGGCCAGGATGGCGTGGGTGAGGACAAGGCCAAGCTGCTGTTCGACTCGCTCGCCGACTTCACCGCCGTCGCCATCCTGGGCCAGTTCAAGGACCAGACGGCCACCGAGAGCGTCGAGCGCGTGCTGCGCAAGCTCGCAACGGGCAAGGCGCAGGACATCCTCAAGAGCCGCGAGCCGAAGCTGCCTTCGCCCACCTTTGTCACAGCCTACCTCGAGGCGTTCCGCGCCAAGGCGAAGCCCGAGCTGCCCGAGCAGCCGAGCCAGGGCGACGAGACTCTGCTCAAGGCGTACGGCGCGTTGGAAGCCAAAAGCTACCCGCACGCCTTCACGCTCTTCAACGAGGCGATCGAGCAGGGCCTGAGCAACGAGGATCTGGAGGCCAACGCCTACAACATGCGCGGCACGTTCAAGTTTGTCATTGGCAACGCCAAGGAGGCGCTGGCGGATCTGGAGCGCAGCACGACGCTGCGACCCAAGTACGTGCAGTCGTGGGTGAAGAAGGCGTCCGTGCACATGGAGCTGTCAGACAAGGAGGCGGCGTTCAAGGACTTTGACAGGGCGATCGAGGCCGACGCCGAGGACCCGGACATCTACTACCACCGCGGCCAGGTCAACTTTATCCTCGGCGAGTTCGACGCGGCGATCAAGGACTACGAAAAGTCGACGTCGCTCGACGACACGTTCATCTTTTCGCAGGTGCAGTATGCGGTGGCGCACTACAAGAACGGCAACATCGGCCACTCGACGGCGGCGTTCCGCAAGCTGCTGCGCAACTTTGACACGTCGTCCGAGGCGTACAACTACTACGGCGAGCTGCTGCTCGACCAGCAGAAGTTCGAGGAGGCCATGGAGAAGTTTGACAAGGCCATCGAGATCGAAGGCGCCAAGCAGGGCTCGACCAACGTGCTGCCGATGATCAACAAGGCGCTGGCGTTGTTCCAGTGGAAACAGGACATCACTGCGGCCGAGGAGCTGTGTCGCCAGGCGCTGGACAAGGACGAGGACTGCGACGTGGCGGTGGCTACGCTGGCGCAGCTCAGCCTGCAGCAGGGCAAGATCCAGGATGCCATCGAGTACTTTGAGCGATCCGCCAAGATTGCACGCACCGAGCCCGAGCTCATCAATGCGCTCACGTACGAGAATGCGTCGAGGGCGCAGCTCAAGTTCATCCAGGAGTTCCCCGAGCAGGGCGCGGCGCTCGGTCAGATGGCTGGAATGCTCTAGATATGCCGACCTTTGTCCATCCGACGCGGTCCGCCAGAGGTTGGAGTTGCCGTTACAGCAACTCCGGCATTCGATAGCTGGCCACTCACCACTCACTCCTCTGGACCGCCACTGTAAATCAAACCAAAAATACGTGCGTTCTCAGCGACCCCTAGCGTGGATGGAGGCTGCGTGAAGCTCGGACTGGTGGAAGGAGGCTGCGCTACGTTGGAATGAGACTGCCGATTGGATGTCGGCGGCAGTCGGAACGAAGAGGAGGTGTGGCTGCGGGAGAATTGAGTGCAAAGCGAGCGTCCAACAGGGGTTCGAGGCGCGATGACGTTGACGCGGGGACGAGTGGACCCTGTGGCTTTATGAGCCCAAAATTTGAGCCTGGCGAGGCTGAGCGCTGTTCGGGAGGATCCGAGGCACCAAAACACTGGACGCTCGGATTGCCGTGACGAGCTCGTGTGCGCAGCAAGCAGGACCCGCAGCCGATGCATGAGAGCGCGCCTGCCGGTGACGGGGCGGGGTTGCCAGGCGATCTGGCTGCAGACCGACTGCAGCGTGATTCAGCATCCTCCCGTGAGCTTGTTTTGCGGGTCCGCCCTGGCTGCGGCTTCGGCATCCATCCGAAGGAGCGCCTTGGTGTCGGGGGATGGAGCTTGCAGGGCTGCCGGAAAAGCGGCGTCAAAATCAACAGGACGTCATTGACCGCCCTCCCTCTTGTCTTGGCCCCCGGCCTCTGGCTCAAGACAATGCGACGGTGTGGCGTCACTGGCTGCGGCAGTCGAGAGCTGGCAGGCACGATGAGGTGACCCGTTGCCCCACTTTCGGCTTCGCAGCTGCGGCAGGTCGTGCGTGGCGCAAACCGATGCTACGGTGGTAGACCCACGAGGCCAGGTCCAGGCATGTGCTCAAGCGTGGGGCCTTGTACCCGAGACATAGCTGCTAAGGCCCTGGACCACCCGCCCTCGCCAGTGCCATACGACCCCAGCAACAACACTACTTAAACAGCCGCATCCCTGTCCAGACATCAGGGAGTCCTTTCCATCCACGCATCCGCTCAACAAACCCGCCGCCAGACGCTTGACTGCACCCACTCAACCCACGAAGGACCAAAGATCTAGCCATCATGGGAGGTACGTTGTACAAGTCTTGTCCCACCATCGTTTAGATGATAGACTGACATTTGGGATGGTGGTTATCAGCTGTTGCATCGTGCCTCAGTTCGATTGTCTCGGCCATCGCGAGCCTGTTCCACACCATCTTTTCCGCCATCGGAAGCATCCTACACACCATGTAAGTCCAAGCCTGCAACCGCGCGACGCTGTGACCACGAAACTGACTCTGCCCTTTGGTCGTTTGCTTTGACACTCAAAGTGTGTCGGCCATCTCGTCGGCGCTGATTGCGACGTTCAACTGCATCGCCGACGTGCTCTGCTGTCGATGCGGAGGCGGCGGCCGCAGACGCAGATCCAAGGTCTAGCCGCTCCATGCCACCCTCTTGCTTCTGGGTCGACCATGACATACTCCAATGCCTCCTTGCGATACCCTCCGGTGCAGAATTGACCGATGCACACCGATCTTGATCGTAGCGCGTCACAATTGTCTGCACAGGATGCAATGAAGATGCGAAACGATTCTGCCAATGCGAACGGTGGCCGGTGAAAGCGAGTGCGAACTTTGAGGTCGAAAGCCAGATTGGAAAGCAGAGTCAGGTTGGAAAGGCGAAGATGAGAAGTTGGCTGATGAACAAATACAATTGCAAAGGCACGGGCGCAACGTGCGTAGACATGTACGCGAGTCAGAGGTAGCGCCGTTGCAATGGCGGCCACTCCTTTGCGGTGGGTGATGGTGGGAACGATGCAGGGATGAGTCGGAACTCTAGCACGTTTGCTGAGACGGACGGGTGCGGGTGCGGGTGCGGGTACGGGTGCGGGTGCGGGTGCGGGACCGCTGCACGCCCGTGAGAAGGGGAGAAGGATGAGGGTTGGGTATACGAGGTCGGGGCGGTGATCATGTGCGGCTCGAAGGGCAGCATCTAGCAGCCACCGAGCTGCTCGATCATGGCGTCGATCTCGTCCTGGTCCTCCATGTTGAGCTGTCGTGTGGGGAAGGCAAAGGGGTAGAAAGTGATGACGCGTCAGTGAACGCTCTCGAATGGATACGGGAAGCCAAGATGGCGCTTCTGCTTACTGTCTCGGCGGTGTCGTTGTCACCGATACGCTGGCCATCAAAGATGAAGCGGACGCTGTTCTCGGGCTTGCCCATCCTCTCGGCGTACGCCTTCTTGAGCTTGGACAGCTTGGTGGTGCGCTTGACCTTGAAGAAAACCTCGTTTCCGTCGGCATCCTTCACCTTGATGTTGAGCTGCTCGCCGCCCTCGGGCTTGGGCTGAGGAACATCGGCGTCAGACATGTTGAGGTCAGATGAGTAGGCCAAAGGATGGGTCTGAGGACGTGTGGTTGGGGCGACGTGTCGAGATGAAGCGGCACGGTTGTCTGACACTTGTAATGTGGTGAGAAGGGAAGGAGGTGCGGGAAGTTGACGGTGCGAATATACGACTGCGGTGCGGACGAGGTGGCGGAGCTTCCGACAGTGCGGGTTAGCGATCTGAATGCAATCGGGGCGTCCTGAGCGCGCTCCAACTGAGCCTCGCCCGCCCTCCTTTGTCCGCTGTCCGCTGTCCGCTGTCCGCTTTGTTCGCGTCCAGCAGAGCAGCGTGTCAGACCGGTGCCGAGAGAGCGTCAACACAGGTGGAGGTTCGCCCTGCAATTTCGCGCCCTCTTTTTCCGCTCGTCCTTTCTTGGAATTTCGTGATTTTTCGTTCTCGCACAAATCTGACAAAATGGACGCTGGAAAGCCGTCCCGCAATCCGAGAAAAGAAAAAAAAAAGACAAAAAAAAAGGCGCGAGGTGGAGTGGTTCGTACGGCCGTGATGTGCTGCCTTGAAATTTTTCCATCCGCGGCTGTGACCTCGACGTCAACTTCTTCGCAGCTTTGTGCTCTCGAGTCGAAGCTCGAGCTCAAGCTCAAGCACCACAGCTCCTGCGCAAACTGAACCCTGGACTGAATCCACCAACCTCGCTCGAGCTGCCACGGCTGTTGCGCTGCACCGACAGCCTCTCTCGACCCACCGACGCCCCATCCAACCTTGCATCCGCATCCCTCAACCGCCTGCTCATCTCTCGACCGCTCCCTTCAAGATCACTGCCATCTCTAGCCCTCTACTTCGAGCGAGTCACACACCCCCGTGGATGACGATCTCCGCAAGTCGCAACGTTTCGGCATAGCCTCTTTGACCATGGAGGCTGGTGAATCCATAGATCCGGCTGCGAGGCCAGACTCGGCGGCGGCGTCTGCCCACTCCGAGGCCTCGCAAGGCCCTCAAGGCGTGGCGCACGCTTCGCCAGACAAGCCAGCTGGTGATCCAAACGCACTCCCGGATCTGACCATCATGGACGGCATTCCCTCGCTCGATGCCTCGAACCTGGCCAGCTTCCTGCCTGCCGCGTCGGCGCAAGACAAGTCCCACCAAGACGGGCCTTCGCTCGAAGAGCAGATCCAAGCCTTTACCGCAGGCATCGCCGGCCAGCTCGGTGACGCCCACACTCAGCCGCTCGACACCCCTGTCGACACCTCGGCGCTCAACACCTCCTACAACACTCCCACCCAAGGCCAAGGCACCCCAGCCACCGCAGAGGATATCGCTTCCTTCGAGACCCTCATCGCCTCGCTCATGCCCACCCCGCAGTCGGGATCCCCAATATCCGCACAGCAAGCCGAGCCTTCCACAGACGCTGCCTCGCAACCAACCGTCGCAGGTGACCACACCGCCTTTGCAACCCCAGAGCCGCAGCCGAACACCTCCCCGGACGATGCTGCACAGTCATTCGTCGATACGCTCTTACGGCAAGCGAATCTCTTTTCGGCCGATGCAGCAGCAGCACCTCAACAGCCATCCACAAGCAACACAACGGAGCAAGTGGCGCCACCGCCTGTCAGCCAGGAGCCACGATCCGGCGCCGTTGCCGACGATGCCCTCAACGCCAGCCTCGAGCAGTTCATGGCGAGCCTACAGGCTAGGGTCACCTCCAGTCTTGCCACCGAAGCGACCAAAGAAGCTCCAAAGGACACTGAAGAGGCACCTGCCACTCCCAAACCCAAGTCGCCGCAAAAGACCCCCAAGCCAGTCAAGAAGCCCAAAAAGGTGCTCGGCAAGCGAAAGTATCGCGAGATCGGCCCCATGGAGCGCCGCACCAGAGTGGAGAAGGCGCTAGCCGAGTACATTGCCAGCATCGACACGCTCACCAAGCCCAACACCGTCACCGGGCCCATCCCTGCAGCAGATCCATCCAAGACCAAGATGACTACCGTCCGCTGTGCTCACGCCTCGGTGGCGCAGAAGAGCTATGGCTCCGAGAAGCGCTTCTTCAACCCACCGCCCATCATCAGCGTCACTGGACCCCTCCGCCGCTATGCCGAGCACGGTGCTGCCACTCTCACCACCTCCTCCACTTCCGAAGATGCCGACGAAGAAGAACAGTGCCGCGTCAGCCTGTTGGTGCGCGGCGACACGGACGAATTCTTCTCCAACGAGAATGTCGCCGTGCTCGACCAAACACTCGAGGCCAAGATGCGCTCGCTTTATGTCACGCCCACAGGCAGGTCCAAGGCGTTCCGCTTGCAACTCAATCTCCTCCGTCCGTCGGGGCTGGAGCCTCATCTCCCCATCTTCAGCCCTCTCAAGAAATCGCGTGCTGCCGATCCGCTCTCTCCAGCCATAAGTGCGGGCAGCCCCGCGTACGATCAAGCGGACAGTGGCTCTGAGACCTTGTCGCGTTTACCCAAGGGTCTCGCTTGGGCGTCGTTCGAGTCGGCTCCCGTCACCATCATCTCAAAGTCGTCTAAGAAGACTGCAAAACCGCGTGGACAGATCAACCAAGTGCAGAATGGGTCTCTCGTCTCGTTCTTCAATCGCATCAATTCGCAGACCGCGCGCACCAAGTACATGCACACCAGCAGCGACGGTGCGCTCGTCGTGCACAATGGCGAATGGTCCACGTATCGCATCACTCTCATCTCGCGGCCGCCGTTGGCGGATCTAGCTGGTGCAGAGGAAGACAGTGTCACCTACGGTTCGACTATCGTGTTGACGGATGTCAACACTGGCGCAAGCAGCGACCCGCTGGTGGTGTGCAAGGTGGACAAGGGCCAGGTGCAACTTCCGCAGCTCGATCCGCCGGCTGAACTCCCCACAGCTGGCTCGGGCAACAAGTCGCGTCGAGTTCCCATCGACCGCGCCTTGCGTGACAAGCTCGCGGCTGCAAGCAAGATGTCCTCCAGTGCCCGTTCCTCTGCGCAACCACCGTCCAATGGTCGTCCTGCCGAACCAAAAGCTGCAGAGACCCCGGGAAGCAGCGCTCAGTCGGCCATCAAGATCGAGGGCGACAACTCTCAAGCTGGCCCTCCACCAGCCGCCTCGGCCACCAACGGAGACAAACAGAACGCCGACGATTTGAATCTGTACGGTCCCGTGGGACAGCTGCAGAAGGTGGCGCTGATGCGATTCGTGCCGAGCAGCGACAGCGAGACCGTCTTTGGCGATTCCGAGCATCTCGAGTCGAACTTTGCCACGCCGCGCAGCTATCTGTGTGCTACGATGCCCGAGGGTTGGAAGCATCTGGTCACGCCGGATCAGGTTGGCAAACGTCCGCTGGGAATCACATTTGCTCGCACGCACGAAGAGGGTTTCGGCCTCGACGAGTCACCGCAGAGCGTGGAGGACGTGCACAAGACGAGCGAGAGCAACTCGATTGCCTACATCACCCCCAGCACCGCCAGCATTCCCAAGGAGCATGCTTCGGGTAACAAGGAGGTGGACGAGGTGGATGATGCATTTGTATGGACCGTCATCGGTGTGTCGCGCTTCGAGTATTCGTACTTTGACACGAGCGCCACGCAGGCGTCCAAGGACGAAGGACCGTGTGAAGTGCCCATGACGCCGTTCCCGCTTATCACATCCATGCCGACGTACGATCAGACCAAGCATACTCTGCTCACCACCGTGACCAACTTCATCGTACCTGCAGCTATCACTTCGGAACCCATCCCTCTCGATGTGTGGGTAGGAAGCATCGGCCCGCTCAAGGTGCAGCATTCTGTCAAGCGTCCTGCATCCACCACGCCAGCGGGCGATCCAGAGGCCTTCATCACCATCACGCTACCTCCGATTCGAGACATGCTCAAGGTCGCTCTCAGGGGCAAACCCGCTACGGCCCAGGCAAGCGTGCCGGCCCACTTCCTGCTGCCACTCATCTTTGTCAATGACTCCGACGGCACAGCCTACCACTCGGGCCGACACATTGTGTGCGAGGACCTGGTGCAGCTCATGAAGGCAACCGGCCACGACACTACCGCCGACGTACTCAAGCAGCTCGGTTTCGGCCTCGGCGACCTCGCGGGTCCTCCCGCACAGGGCGCGTGGAGTCTGCGCATCATCTGATCCCACCTTTCGCCCCCCGTCCCCGCCCCTTTATGTATTTGTACCCATCTTTCCATCAGTCACACTCGGCTTCACACTCGGCTTCACTCTCAGCAATGCACATCACATCAGGCCCACCACAAAGAGCCTGTTCTCTCGATCATCTGATTGCTCGTCAAACACAAAGACATCAGGGTTCGTGTTCTGATAGATTGCGGCCTCTCTTGGTCTTCGTCGCGGCCCGATGTGGGCTTAAGCCGGCTCGATTTGGTTCAACGCCGGACCGCCGGTGGGGCAGAGGTTGAGCACGTCCTGAGACCAGGGGAGTTGCTGGATCTTGTGCGGATGGATGGCGACGGCGGCCATGAGTCCCTCTGCGACGTGCATGGAGATGTGGCAGTGGAGCGGCCATACGCCCGGCAGGTCGGGGATGATGCGGATGATCACGTAACTCGAGCGGCCGACGGTAATCGTGTCTCGACGCAGCGGATTCTTGAGGTTGAGCGCGCCCGGCTGCCGGTTGAGCGCGAGCCACTGCGCCTGGTCGATGCGGCCCGAGCCGTGCTTGATGATGTGCATGTCGGTGCCGTGCAGGTGGAAGGGATGGTCGAGGAACGTATCTTCGTTGTTGATGATGATGTCTGCCACCCACACATCGTCCGGCACGAGCAGCGACGCGATGGTCGACGCATTGATCGGCTGGCCATGGTGCGCCATTTGCAGGTACGGCTTGTTGATATAGTTTGTCTGCGTCACGTTTTCGATGAAGAAGCGGCCGAGCGTGGTGCCGTTGGCGAGCTTGAGGTTGCCGAACTGCGAATTGAAGATGCCGAGCGAGTTTGGGTTGATGTTGACCGGCACTGAAGTGTCCATCGCTGGGACCAGCAGCGAGTCGTCCAGATCCACGCACGGAGTAATGTTGTCGCTCCAATCGTGCGGCACGGGTGCCTTCTGCCGGCCAAAGTGTCCATGCTTCTTGTACTGCAGCGTAAGATTCGCCACAGGATTAAGCAGCGGGTCGACAAAGGCAAAGCACTTCGTCGTCATGGTCGAGCGCAGCAGGAAGCTGTCACCACTCTTGCCGACGTTGGTGTGGACAATCACGTCGTGCCTCTGGCCGTTGTGGATCGGGATGCGGTGGACTTTGTGCGGCAGAACGGGAGTGCCGTCAGCCGCGATCACGTGCAGCTCGTGGTCGTCGATCGAGATGATGTGCTGTGCATGCGAGCCTGTGTTGATGAACCGGAATCGGTACTTCTTGTGTGGCTCGATATCCATCGTCGGCGTCTGCATTGGGTCGCACGCGCTTGGCATTCCCGGCTGGTGCGTCTTGGCCTTGTACAGCGCCGCACAATCGAACACGCCGACTCCGTTGATGAGTCCAGACTGGGGCGACGGTGCTGCCACCGTTCCATTGTAGCCTTTGGCCGAGAGGAGCTGGGTGACAATGTCATCGGCAAAGTCGTGGTAGTTGTCGGCAAAGAGGAAGACGCGCTCGTCGTCGTAGTCTCGGCACTTCTGGTACGGATCGCGCTTGGATCGAATGATGAGGCCACCGTACAGGCCGTCGGTGTACTGCATCTTGGAGTGACTGTGCCACCAATACGATCCGTACTGACCCTCGATCTTGAAGCGGTAGGTCAGCGAGCCACCGGGTGGGATGGGGCACTGCGAGAAGCCAGCAATGCCGTCCATGAAGGGTGTGCTATTCTGGAACATGCCGTGCCAATGAATCGAGGTGCCATGGTTGAGGTAGTTGGCGACATTGACCACAATCGTGTCTCCCTCATTGGCCTCGATGAGAGGGCCAGGCGACTGGCCATTGATCAAGATGCGCTTCTTGAGGAAGCCGTCCGGAGCAGCGAGACCATTGGTGAGGACAAAGTCGTACGTCCGCGTCTGCGGTGTATAGTCGTAGGGGACGCAGTCTCGTCTCTTCTTGTGTTTTGAATGATGGTCCTCTTCATGATGGCGATCATCGAGCTCTTCCCCGCGCTCAGCATGGTGTTTGTGATGATGAGAGGATGAGGTTTCATCTTCGGAACTCGCCAGAAGGTCTTTACCGAGCCAAGGATCGGACTCTGATCCGGCGTGAGCGGGCAATCGCGAGATTTGGTGAGGGGGTGCTGCGGTCTCTAGCTTACAGTCGGGCCCTGAAGACTGAGAGGCGGGCAACGCGAATGCGGTTTTGGCTGCGAGCCCGAAAAGGGCAAGAGAGCCCCAGGGAAGCCTCATCTCAAGCCAAAGCGCTTACTGACGAAGGATCGAGAATGCGGAGAAGCTGAAGAGCGTCAAAGGGAGCACGACGGGGGGTGATGTGATGTTCGTCGTCTCAGAGTGGTGGGTAGAGGGGACACAGGGTAGAGCAAGGGTAGGGGTTCGGCCTGAGACGACATGGCGCTTTATAGACTGCTGTACTTCGTCGCACGGAAGAGATGCTCAGCCACTGATGCTGTGCAGCACTTGTGGGCCTCTGCAGATCTTGCGGCAGTTCATAGTGATGGTTTTCTCCGACCGCTTCCCGGGTTAGCTTGCCGTTGCGACGGGACCCACCGTCGAGGCCGCCACGGCGTAATGCCGGATGCGCTGTGCCGCCCTGAAACACGCAAACAGCGGCCAAATCCACGCAACCGCCTGTGACAACATTGCTGTGCGGGGTGCCACAGAGGGGGCAGGTGACAGCTATGAATGTGGCACAGCCGTCAATGTGGCACCACTGGCTGCATCGCGGCGGAAATGAGCTGAAGCGCTTGGGCTTCCCGCCAAATTACGCCCAGAGGCACTTGCACAACACAGACACGGCGTCGGAGGGCTCGGACCTTTCGCCGCCGAACAAGTCACAGATCTCCATGATACATCCGAGCGTGATAGTGGCCAGGAGGGTCAGGGGCTATCGGATGCTCCGACCGGAAAGTTGGCTCTTGCCCTGGTGCCGCCTCCAGGCTGCAGTGCGGCAATCATGGCTGCAGTGCGGCAATCATGGCTGCAGCGGGTAGCACGGTCATGAAAGCCTGCGGTTCCTGCAGCGCATCTTGTACAATCGGCGAGAGCAAGTCCTCATACTCGGACATCCGTTAGCATCGACAGCACGCGAAACACAACGCGGCCCTCGCTTGTTGGCAGTCAACCTGCACTGGCTGCAGTCGGGGTCCAGCGGCATCGAACGAGCATCAATTGCTTGTGCAGCCCACGGTCGGAAAAGAAATCCGCGCAGCCTTCGCCTAGTTAGACAGGTGGGCATGTACCCGCTCGGCCCACCGACTAGCGCGGCGTCCCTCTGCGATCTCATGATTTTCGGCGCAGAAGCTGGTGAGGGAATGCGTAGGCTTCAGTGCCAATCCGCTGTACCTCTATTTGCTGTCGCAAACAAACAGAAACGCTCTAAATTTCAATGGGCGATCTGCATGAATTGCATCCCGCACGCACCTTCCCGAAAACTTCGCTTGTATCTGCCAAGATGGATAATGGAGGAGATCTGACTGGGGACTTGCAAGCGTTCCCGGGACAGCGCAGTTCTCGCTGTAATGTCGGGCCGAGTCGAGGAGCGGTGACGATTGTACCAGTGTTGGTCGTGATGAGCTCGTCGCCTCACCCTGCAGCCACCAAGGCTGAATTCGAAAAGTGGTGTTCCCACAGTATCGAAGTTCGAGGCTTTCGGATCTTGCGCCAAGCGGCCCCCGATCACAAGTCGCACGGTGGCGTCGGGAGAGGTCCGCTGTGTCCAGCCGAGGACGACAGTGTGATCACGGTTTGGCGAGGCAGCGGCGTCGTGTGGTCGCGAACCGAGCTCGTTCCTGATACGCGCATTTCTGGGTTGCGACTGGTGTCTCCTTCGGATGAACCGAAAAGGCAGCGGAAGCGCAGGGCGTTCCGCCCTTGCAGATGCAGTCGACTTGCATTCCTTCCCAACACGCTGCGCCAGAGCATATGCCTGCTTGTGTCATTCGAATAAGCTCGGCGCTTGACAGTCACATCCCTGGGCAAATCATCGGAGGCGACCCGATGTGAAACACAATGGCCGTTGCAACCACGACGAGGTCACGTCCTGTTCGTCCGCAACTGGCCGTGCCTCTTGCGGGGTTTCCTTTCGCTCTTCCGCCGGACCACCTCCAGTTACGAGGCAGTCGTGCTCTCTGCTCGCTCTTCGCGGCTGGTCCGAAACTTCCGTCGTCCCCCACCACGAGGCGCGAAATATGCTGTGCCGTTTCGTGTGGCTGCGCTGTTTCACACGCCTACCTGCTTCATGAGCATTATTCGCTCCTCTCTTCAGTTGCACGCACGAAGTTGTGTGGGTGGCAAGCTGATGCGAAGCAACGCAAACAACCGACGGCCGATCCGTGCTCACCCGCAGATCCGTTGCCACATCTCCGTGGCTGCAACCGCAACCGCATTTCGTTTCGACGCAATTCACCGCCGTGTCGGCCGCTCCTCGGATGCCGTAGTCTACCGCGACCTTACTGAATCGACCCTTGCCTGCTTCCAGCACCCGAGTGCCTTCTTTCCGTCGCGCCTGCAAGCGCAAGCTCACTCCCACAAGCATTGTCCACCGCTGATGTCTCGGAACACCGCCTGACCATGCCGGCCCCGAACAGGTACAGACCGGCCAAGCGGCCATAGCTAAAAGCAACGGGCAAGCGATATATTGATACATGGGAGACAAGCCGGATACATGGGCGTGGGGTAACGAATGCAAGCATTCGTCGACGGAAAGATTAAGGTCAGAGCCAGATCGGGCGTGCCCGATCTTACTGCGTCTGGGGTCCGTATCCGCGCAGCATCTCGGCGAAGCCCCACGAGGTTGGCACACTGTACGGCTCCGAGATGTGGCATCCTTCCTTGGTCACCTTGGCGACACGGAACCTGTTGAGCGATCTTGCGTCGCGGTAGAAGAGCACCTTCATGCAGTTTTCGAGGATGTCCTTGGCCTCCTCCTCGGTCAGCGTGTCCTCGCGGCCCTCGACCATCTTGCGCAGCAGAGGCTGAGCCAGGTGCAGACCGAAGCCCGTGGCGATGGTGCTGCTGGTGAACGTGGTGCCGAGCAGGTCGACGTAGCCCAGGAATGGTGTGCCGTCCTTGGGATCCACGCCGCCGAGCACAAACGAGTTCCAGAGCGGGTTGATGTCGCTTCTCCTCTTGTACATGACGCGCGCGAGATAGGCGTAGATCTGCGCGGGTGTCAGCGTGTGTCCGTCGGCAGTGACTTCTTCCGATGTGATGAGCTTTCCCAGCATGTGCTGCACGTATTGCCAGTCGCTCATGTCGCCGCTCGCACCGATGAGCGTGTTCTGTCCAAACTGCGAGATGCGCGTGATGTCCATGAATCGCGCCAGCGAGCCGTACGAGGCGAGCGTGTCGGTAGCAAGCATGATGCCGTCCTTGTACTTGAGCCCGAGCACCGAAGTACCCGTCACAATCGGCTGCGACGTGTGCGAGGTAGGATCCGACGAAGATGATGCAGCCGCCGAGCTAAAAGACGGCGTGCCCAGGTTGGCGTAGGCCTGGTTGGGGGCCGACGACCACGTTTGGCCAGGGTGGAAGCTGATCATGTCGGCCGTTTATGTGTTAGTGATTCAGTGGTGTTGATTCAAGCGGCGGCGGTCGGCAAGTGATGATGGTGAGCGTAGGACGATGAGCGGCCAGCAATGATGATGTCGAAGTGCGGTCGGCAGGAGGTGGCTCAAGCGCCTGCCTCTGGGCTTGCGTGTTCACCGCTTAGGCGCCTTGCAACGCGTTTCCACCTATGTGGAGTGATCGTCGAAATCCACCTATGCTGAGCCTTGCACCGCACGTGATTTTCGAAGCCAAGTTTGTGTGGACAATCAGCCTAACACATTGCAACAAAACCGAAAGATTCGGACATCGGAACTGCCAGGCACGGATTGAGAGCCCAGATTGCGGTTTCCCGCGGCCTTGCTCCTTCCCAATCCACATTCACACCACGACAGCACGCGGTCACGAGGCCGACGATGGACTTCTCAGGCCGAGCTGGTAACAAAGGTGGCGGTATCGCCGGAGCCTCCGAGAGCAATGTCGACCGACGCGATCGGCTGCGCAGACTCGCGCTCGAGACAATCGACCTAGCCAAGGACCCTTACCTTCTCAAGAACCACCTGGGCGGTCTCGAGTGTCGACTCTGCTTGACGCTCCATACGAACGAGGGCAGCTACCTCGCACATACGCAGGGCAAGAAGCATCAGACCAACCTTGCCAGACGTGCCGCCCGCGAGGCAAAGGAAAATGCATACGACTCGAACAAGCTCATCACCGCCTCAGCCACCGAGGCTATGCCGAAGAAGCAGTTTGTCAAGATCGGTCGACCGGGGTACAAGGTGACCAAGGTGCGCGAGCCTTTGTTGGAACGTGGCGAGGGAGGCCGACTGGGATTGCTGTTCCAGGTGTCTCTTCCAGAGATCAAGGAGGGTGTGACGCCGATGCATCGCTTCATGGGCGCGTTTGAGCAGAAACAAGAGGCACCCGATCGAAACTACCAGTACCTCGTCATCGCTGCAGAACCATACGAGACGATTGCATTCAAACTTCAATCCCGCGAAATCGATCGCAGAGATACAGGCCTAGTCACCTCGTCAGCACCAGCCTCAAGACCAAGACCAGAACCCTCCACTTGGAGCCATTACGACCCGGATGCAAAGACCTTCTCCATCCAAGTCATGTTCAAGTAGCTCCCCATCGCCGCATCCACACGCCCACTAACATACCCTCGAGTCGACTCTCCCGGTCGGGCTCACACGTCACGTCTGCTGCCATCTGTATTTGTACGCCACTCATCGAAATCATAACGCATTTGAAATGCATCTATCACACCACCGCAAAGCCGAGACGAGCGCCCCCTAGAAACTGACGAGCTTGGTCTGACCCAGAGAAAGCCAGGAGGTGTAGGCGCGGATCTTGGCCTCGGAAGCAGTGAGGCCCGAAGGCACTGCTGCTGCCTGCGCGACTGCGGCCGCGCCGGCACCTGTTGAAAACTGCGACCCCTGTGCAGCCGTGGCCATCCCGGACTGGACCGCCGAGACGGCAACAGGGAAGGCGAGCTGACTGGCTGCATGGGCATGGCTGACCAGCACAGGGTCGATAGTCGAGTAGCGCACGAACCTGTCGACCGCCGCAGCCTTGCCACCGCTGACCGCCACGCCCTCTTCGTAGATCTGGATGTCTTTCTCGTCGATCAGATGGTGGTCCGTCAAGGCTGCTGTCCTCTCGAGCGGCATCTGTCCGTCGACACGACCTGCCTGCTCTGCGTCGGAAGCGGCGTCCCCGCTACTCGGCCGCGCATACTCGTCGAGGAACTGCGTCGTGTAGAACGCGTACTCTGATTCTTCCTCTTCCGAGATATGCGGATTGCACGCCTTGTTGAGCGCGGCTTCGATCGCCACGTTGGACCCGGCAACAGCAGGGCCGACGGGATTCACCGTCTGCCACCGACCGGCAAAGTTGAACGTGTGTGGGTCAAAGCCGCCAAGGACAGCGCCTGTCGATGGCACCGAAGCTCCACGCACGGGTCCTGCCGAGTCGCCGCCACGTCGCACATCCTCGTGTTGGTGATCGCCTCCCTCGGACGACGCTATGCTGTACCTGTGACGCGACTTGTGCGACCCAGTCCCGCCAAGACGCGGCGACCCTCCGGGCTTGTTGATCGAGATCCATCGCCTCACGCCGCCGATGATGGCCTTGGAAGGCGGCAGTGCACTCGACGCCGACCCCGCTGGTGACGACAAGAAATGCTGTCCGCTCTCGGGCGAGACGGGACTCTGTGCCTCGTTGACCATGGTTGCGGAACTCTGCGTCCCAAGGCTCCGAGCGTCGCTCTCTCCGCGCCGGAAATGCTGCTGCTGCGAGGTGCGGTAGGCTGAAAGGTCCGCAGCGCCTCCACGCGGCTTGAAGGGACTCGGGTACTCGACCATGTAGCCGGCGTGGTGCGGATTGAACGTGCCCGACGACAGGCTCGAGTTAGAGGCGGAGCGGACATGGCGGGTCAGGTGAGCGGCTCCTCCGATCTGGCCGGCATACATGCTGAGAGCTCCTGCCGACTGGCTGTGTGGCATGCCCAATCCACCCGAGGCGTGCGACACCCCGCCGTGCAGATGCGAATACTGGTGCACTGCGGTCATCTTGAAGGCGTGGTGTCGGTTCAGATCCGTGAACAGGCTCGGGCGATAGTACTCGGCCCAAAAGCCTGCATCTGCATTGGCCACTTGCCTCAGTCTCCGTTCGCGACTTTCGAGCGTCCCACGCGGCTGCAAATGCAGCGGATCGAACCAGTGCTGGTAGTGCGGCCGGAAGGGAACGGCACGGACAACTTTCGTCGACTGCTCGTGGCCGTTCTCGGTGGTCTTCTTGGTCGAGACGGGAAAGTTCTCGGGGAAGACGTGTGGGGAGAAGTCAGGAGCCGCAGGGTCCACGCCGAGGAACAAGTTGATGGCCGCTTGCTTGTCCGCGTCGGCAAACGAGTTGGCGTAGTAGCGCTTCATGCTTTCGAGCACGTCGCGCGAATGAGAGGTCCACTGGTTGATCTTTCGATACGTGTCGGTTGTGTGCGCTAGCGCAGAACCGCCGTACTGCATGGCGATCGTGTCGCCCAGGTCATGGTACATCTCCGTCAACATGTTGACCGCGTCTGAGTCGAATGGCAGCGAAGGGTCGTCGAGCAGTCCGAGCGCGTGCAGCTGATGGCCGAAAGCCGCCTTGCCGATCACGAATTGAGCAGCGTTGGTCCTGTCCAGACAATCGACGCAGTTGACCCTTGCGACGCCCTCCTGCAGCAGAATCGTTTCCCTTCGAGGCTGATGACCTCTTGCCGTCGACTTTGACCCGGCGTTCGAGCTTTCGTGGCTGGGTTCGGCCGGGCTCGTGCTGTCATGGCTCTGCGTCATAGCGTGACTGCTTGGCTGCGCACGGAAAGCGCTGGGCTCTGGACCAGAGTGGAAAAAGTGGGTGGTCTCAAGCGTCTCTTCGGCAATATCCTCGAGAACGCCAATGACATCTTGACCATGGCTCTTGCTGGCGCGGCTCATGTCCCAGGCTATGTAACGTATCTTCTTGCTTGTGGGAAGGAACTGGTTGAGATAGCTGATGCACTCGCCGAAGGTGCGCAGCAGTTTGACCTCACGCTCCTGCTTCTCCTTGCTCTTGATGAGATTGAGGACGATCACGGGTGTGCCATAGCGGTGGAAGAGCTCGTCAAAGTGCAGAGCTGCGGCCGAATAGTACGGATCAACGAGCGAGATCTCGATGGGAGGGCGGGGCGACATGTTGGTGGAATCCTGCGTCCAGTAGACGGGAATGCTTCCCCTCATCATGACGTACGAAGTGTATCTTGGCGAAGGATCGAGCGGAAGGTCTTCAAAGTCTTCCTCGTCTCCGTGATCAACACCGTTATCCCAGTGATGTTCGACGGCGCGACTCTTCTCCCTGCGTATCTGCGAATCGATCTGGGACGCGTCCTGTGTGCTCGCCTTTTCTCGTAAGCCCCTGGCGCGGATCAGATCACCGCCGCGACGTGTGACTGTAGAAGCGCGCGGCTTGCTTTCCCGAGGCTCGAATCGTTTTCGGCCTGGTGCGAAAAAGGGAGTGGTGAGAGCCTCGCTGACGATCTGTTCGGTTTCGACGTCGTTGGCGACGTGTCCGCGCTCGTTGACGCCGCGCTTGAGGAAGCGCGCACCGGCAAAGTGTCGCGATCTTCGCGCGATGAGGGTGGTGTAGACGGTGCGATTCAGCACGCTCAGCTTGGCCTGATCGACGAAGCCATAGACGAGCGGAAGCACCCACTCGTTCCTTGGATCTTCATCTGGTTGCAGGTGCTCCGAGGCGCCAAAGGCCGGAAGGAGCAGGTGGTGATTCCAAATGAATTTCTCGTTGTAGCCCCAGGCGGTGATGGGCTGCTTCGAGGGCGATACAGAGCTTGCCTGCTCGAGCGGGTCGCCGGGCGTGGAGGTGAGATTGTCCTGCAAGGTCTTTGTGAGGTCGTAGGTGTAGCTGAAGTAGAAGTTCTTGCTGAGGTCGACCTGCTTGAAGAGATGGAGGAGCCGGGCTTCCTCCTGCTCCATGAGCTTGGTGCGTCCCGGAAGGGAGGCGAGCACGGCTGGATGGCAGACGGGCAGGATGACGGTCTCGTCGCAGTGGTAGATATAGTGACCGCCGATCAGGGCGACGACGCTGCGCCGACTGATGAGAACCATGTAGTAGGTGCTTGTGAATCGGATGAAGCCTACGATGCCAAAGAAGCGGCCAACCTCCTGGAGCCCGCCGGTAGCACGGTTGCCTTCGCGGATCATCTCGAGAAGCTCGGCGACCTGCGTGCGAGAATAGACGACGCGGTCTGAAGTTACATTGAGCTCCCAATCTGCTGCTGCTGTTGATTTGAATCTGGGACCCGTCGTTTTAGAGTCTGTGCTGCTTTCAATGTGCCTTGAGCCGGGAGTAGAAGCGCCACCGCCTGCCTTGGTCTCGGGGATGAGAGAGGCTGCATTGCCAGTGTTGGGTAGCGCGGCGGCGCTCGATGTCTTGCCGAAGGCGGCATCGGATTTGAGCGCAGCATTGGCGGAGGTTGAGTTTGTACCGTCTCGAGGCGTTTGCATGGCATCGAGCATTCGTCGGTTCAGCTTGCAGATCTGCGGATCATTGAGCGAGACATAAGGCTGCCCGCGCACGGAGCAGTCGGAGGCTGCGGCATTGGCCTTTGTTGGTTTCGAGGTCTCGAGTCGAATTTCAGCGGTCTTGGCGTTCGAAGACGAAGGAGCATTCTGAGGCGCAGGGTCGATTTGGGCAGAGACTGCAGGTGTCGCCGGCGTGCCGCTGGTCGACCCACTCTCCCGAGGTTTCTCGGCTTCTGACGTGGACCTTGTGGAGACCGGAGCAGTGGGCGGAGTCCTGTCGACTTTGAGGATGCGGAAGCGGGTCTGGCTAGTATTGTAGGCGACGAGGTAGAAGCGGGTCTTTGTTTCCCACAAAGTGAAGCGTTTGAGGTCGCCAATCCTTCCGGGTTCGGCGGCTTCTGCACGAGCGGCTGCCGCGGATGCTGCCGAAGGACCCCAGGTGGAGCCGGGCGTCAAGGTGGGAGTCGGGTTGATGAAAGAAGATGCGGCCATGCTAGGTCTGGGCGGCGGTAGCATGGTTGGCCGTGACGTGGACAATGATACCGCCGGGTCTGGAATGGTGTTGGTGACTTTGGCGCTGTTGGGGGCACGGACCTCTTTGGGAGGTGGGTGAGTATCTCGCACGGGGCCTTCTGCTGCTGCCGCTTCTGCACTTCCTGAGGGAGAAGAGTCGATCTCCGGGATATCTTCATAATCTGGTGGGGGTTCATCTTGCGGGAGGGGTTTGGAGTCCGTGGGTTCCACTTTCTGAGTTGCAGCACTGTTGGTCGGTCCTATCGATGGATCTTGTTTCTGCTTAGCGTTTACGTCTGTATTCGGGGCTGTAGGTGGCGCTTGATCGGACTCGCCGTCCCCTTGCGACGGTGCGGCGCCTGACGCGCTGTCCCTGGGAGCCTGCATCGGCATGGTGTCGGTGAGATCCGATTGTGCGTTGGTTGGGGCGTCGGGTCGCGTCAGTGGCATCGCGGCATCGTGCAGCACATTTTCACTGCGCTTTGGTGATGCGGAGGGTGACGGAGTAGAGCCGATACTGTCGGTCGGTATAGCAGCGGCTCTGGTGATGCTTTGAACAGATCAGCAAGATGGCAAGGTGATTTCATCTTTGGCCAGGGTGAGGAGGCGCGTGCCGCGTAGACAAAGCAACACAGGGTCCAAAAATGCACGAGCGGTGCAGCGTGTGGGTGTGGAGGCTGAACGCCCAGAGCAGCGGCCCGACGCGCTGAACTCTCCGTCGGCTGCACCGAGGCGCTCACTCGTATAGATCACACGGCGCTCTCACGATGACCGGAACGGCATGTCTCGGAAACAGTGACCTTGATTCAAAGCCAAGCAGTGCCCGGAAGTTCCGCGAGTCTATAAAAGTGTGCTCTTTATAGCTCGATCTCTGCGCCAATGGCGATGTGGTCCGAGGCACACACGCCCTTTCTAGGAACGCCCGGTTGAAGAGTCTCGGTGCGATGCGTGCGTAGGAGCCTCGTCACCGTGGGGTAGCTCGGAACGGCGCGCGCCTCGGTCGACGTCTCGACCTTGGGCAGCATGAAGATGTAGTCGAGCGTAAGGCAGAAGAGGCTCGAAAAGATGGTCCACATGGGCTCGGTGCTGTCGCCCGTGTGGCAGTTGGGCGTCTCTGGCGTCCAGTCAGGGTCGTCCCAGCGCTCACGGCCTCGTTCGGGCGAGCCGAAAAAGTTGCCCTCCTCCGACGGATCGCTGATGTGGCCGTAGTGGAGGCCATACGCTGATCCGAGGTGCGCAGATGTCCCCTCGCCGGGGTCTCCTTGCGTATCGGCCGATCCTGGACGAGGGCGAGCGACATCATGCAGCTGGAGGAGTTCGTCCATGGACAAGAGCGCATCCTCCTTTGTTGCTGCGCGGCAGTTTTTGAGCATGCGGTCGTCGGGTTCACCGCCCTCCTCTTCCGCTTCCTCCTCCTCTCTCTCCTCCTCCTCGCCTTGCTCCTCCGCATCTTCCTCTGCATTCTGCTGGTCTTGTTCCTCGACTGCATCACTGTCGGTGCTCGGAGCGACAGCCTTGGTGGAGGGAAGATTGCGGGCCACTTCCGTTGTCCCCTCGGCAAAGCCGACCGAGACGCCCCCCCTTTCCCTGCGTTCGTCAATGCTCTTGTGCACTACGCTGGACATCGACACTTCCTCATGGCAGTGCGGAGTCAGCTTGCGGCCTGCCAAGAGGTGGTAGGTCGCCGAGTGCGGTTGATCGTTGAAGTCACCGGCGAGGATGCAGGGTGCGTCTTGCCACTCTGCTCCCAGCTCTTTGCGGAACTCGTGCAGCCTTCGCACCAATATCCCGGATTGTCGCGCCCTTTCGTAGGCGTGCATAGGGTGCCAGAACAGATGTGTGGTTGCTACAACGATTCCGGGCTTGTCTCTAGCGTCGCCGTTGGCAGAGTCGCGCAACGTGAGCGCCACGAACAGGCCTACATTGCGAGTCACGCGCGAGCATGCTGTTCGAACAGGCTCGGACGGCGCGGCGACACTTTCAGCATCAAGGTCGATGGTCATGCGTCTGTGAGCGCTCTCTCCGAACAGGTCGCGTCTCCAGGCCACGAGCAGACCGTGCTGCTTCTGTCGGTATCCTTTCTCGTACACGTAGCTGAAGCCGTCCTTGTCGAGCGTCTCGCCGTGCACGTCCATGCGGTCCACCTCCTGGAAGCACCCCACATCCCAGCCGTGTCCGGTTCGACTCGAGAATTCGGCCGTTAGACCCACGGATCGATCCTTGAACTTGAGACAGTCCGAGCCTGGGAAGAGTGTGCGACGAACCAGTCCCTGCGCGAGGATGTTCCAGCTAACGACCCGCACCTTTTGCTTGGCCGATGCCGATTTCTCTTTGGCTTGCGACACAGAAGCCCAGTCTCGCGGGACAAAGAGCACATTGCCATGCTCGTTCAGATGTCCATTAGGAATCTTGCCGTTCGCAGCAATGGCAGCCGCAAGCTCTGCTTCCTTGGCGGCCTTGTCAGCGGCCTCCTTCTCCTTTTTGGCCGCACGCTCGCGGCGCTTGGCTTCGATCTCTTCGGGCGACGGACGCTTGCTCTGCTTGACCTTTTTGCCGCCAGCTGCAGCGCCCTGACTCGAGCTAGAGGCAGAGACCGCTTCCGACATGTTGCGACAGAATGCAGATGCAATGTACGAGCGGGCGGAATGGCGGGTGCAGCGCGATGTAATACTCAAGACAAGAGCAACTTTGAGCAGGCCACCAGCGTGCATGTGATGGTGGTATCGACCTGTCCAGCTCAGGTCACATTGAAGGTTGCCTCGCCCCACCTCCACGCGGGGAACGGCGATCACAAAGAAGCGAGGCGCCGCAAATTTAGCCGACGATTTCTTCGCATCCTCCACACGCCTTCCGCCAAGGTAAGCCGAATCCTATGCTCACGGACATGCACATTCTTCTATCTCTCGCCCGGAACCAGCACAGCAAGCAAGGACGGCAACATCAATGCGGCGCTTGCGGCGGAGAAGAACACAACAGGGACATGAGAAAGCATATGGCATCGGTGAGAACGGGGATCGGGGCTACAAGACAGGTTCTAGGATGAGGGCTCTGTGGGCTTCTTCACGCCCATCTCCTCGGGAGTGGGCTTGGGGAAAGGCACATGCTCTTCCAGTGCTTCGTCGGCATCGGGCTTGTGCACATCTCCGTCCTGGGCGACAAAGGTACCCGCCTCGGGAAGTTTTGGATCATCGGCTCTGAGCTTGTCCGCCAGGGATCTGTCTCTTCTCTGGCGAGGCGCTGCGTCCGGGTTGCGAGAGCGGCGGACGACGGGCGGCTTGGGAGCTGCGTCGGTGGCGGAGGCATCGACGACATTGCCACGACCGTCGAAACGGATCTCCTTGTTGAAGAGTTGGTTCTGATCGAGGCTCCTGACGGATTCCCACAGCGAGTTGAGGTATCTGGAGAAGCGGGTGTAATGGAAGGTGAATCCTCGCGGCACGACGAGCGCACGGATCTCGTTGGCAATCTCCTTCTTCTTGTCTGCCGACGTTGATTCGGCGCGGTATTCTCTGAGTTTGGCTATGACTTGCTCGGCGTTGTCCCTGGCGGGGTACGGCGCTTGAATACCAACGTACGCAGGCAAGCCGACGGTGAGGGTGCGCGACTGTGGATCGATCAGCATGACTGGGCTCAAGGAGCGGTGCTTGCCTTCGATCTCGACTTGTGCAGCGATCTCGGTGTTGAGGCGTTTCAAGTGAAGAATCGTATCGACTTTGAAGGTGCGGTAGACGAACTCGGCATTCTTCAGCGGCCGGTCGCCCTCCTCAGACTGGGCAACCTCTAGGCGTCGAGGCAGCGTGAATGGGGATCGCAATGGGCCCCACATCTTGTTGGTAATCACCAAGGGCAGCGAAGCGATCTCAACGTCTGTGAGCCCTTCCACGAGCGCTTCGTGACTCGTCTCGACGGGCTGTTCCAGCAGATAGTTGATGAACTCGATCGAACGCGCCTCCTCGATAGGCGCGTTTGCCCTGCGGAAGGTGTCTTCGTTGGAGTGCACGGCCGAGGTGGAGAGGCTGCGCGTGGCTGGTGCGACTCGAACCACAGCGGGGACGCCGAGCCGTGCCGCCAGGCGAGAGGCGCACATGGGAGCCAGGGCCCGCGTCGAAAGTCGAATTCCGGTCCTTGCAAGCATCGCTGTGTACTTGTATCACAAGCGTCTAAGGGGGGCAGAATGTGATGGAGGTGACGGCGTGAAGATTGGTGCGTGATCTGCTCTCTGCAGAGAAGGCGTCGAAGTCTGATTGATACAGGTGGAGGCTCGCGCTTCGAATCCAGTCTTTCGATCCGGCCGGAAGCAGCTTTTTTCACAAATGCGCTCCGCAGCTGCAATTTTTCGGCCTGCAGGACAAAGGAAAATTTAATGGGCGCGAAGCCTTTGGCCTCTTCCTTCTCTCCTTCCAACCACAAACACGTCAAAACGCTAGACGGACCGCCGCGTTTGCTGTCGCTGTAAGCGGTGGCATCCGGTGGCAGGTCCATCACATGCGACGCAGCTCTCGGGCTTCGTTGCGACACCGGGCGGAAACGACTCCAACAGTCGGTTCGTCTATCACCAATCCTTGGCCTCCCCCCATCTTTACACACAGAGAGACGTGCAAAGGACCGCTTTTGACCCGACCCGCCGCACCCTTGCTGGAGCGGCGACGGGTCTTCTTTTGCAGCCTTCTTCTTTCCGCTCGCGGCAAGGACATGCTGTAGGGAAAGTCCCCGGACACATCTTTTTAGGGAGAGACAGGCGGTGACATAGCTAGTATACGCTCGTGCTTCCGACGTGGTAACGCACGGATTCTCCGCCGTGGACATTAGACGTTGGCGTGCTCCGACCTTGGGTCTTTGCCTGCCACCTCGAGCATGCTGCGAGCGAGGGATCGGCATGATCAGAGACCATAGCAGAGGCAAGCGACCGTCGCCGTAATGGTGCGGTTGGTGACCAATGGCCATCCTGCTTCTCTCCTCTCAATGCGTTCTTGGGGTGCGCTCTTTAAGGCGCCCGTGGCGCGGGTTGCCAGCGTTGTTCGACTGTCCGCTGGCGGGTTTCTGGAGATCGTCGGACTGTCTGCCTCGTGCGGGCAGTTGTGCTCGGGTGTTGTCGGCATGGTTCATTTCCGTCGTGGTCTTCTCCGTCGTTGTCAGCTTGGCGGTGGTGACTGGAGCGAGGACGGGCTGTGATGCAGGACCGGTCCTGGGCGCCGCTGCGTTTCGGCGTGGCGGCGATATCGAGGAGGATCGACAGTTGCCACCGGTCTGGTTGCTTCTCGGTGCTAGCAGCAGTTGGGTTTACAGGCGCCACGATACGAGCGTCTGTAGCTTCGACCCAGTTGCTGCCACCCGAGAGGCGGCTGGACCGGCAGGTTGACTGTCGTTTCCGTCGATCCGATTTCCTGGTCCGGCTTCGGCACACAGTCTGGTTCGCCCGGTCACCAGCTATCCGCCAGGTGGTGCAGCGGCACATCCCGTCCGTTGTGCTTTCGCACGGCGTGGCGATGCCCATCCCAGCCTTGCTGCTGTGGAGCCTTTTGATCTCGTTCGTCATCTTACTGATAGTTATGCGGTCGCCTTCCTCGCCGAGAGGAAGGCAACTCAACGGGGCTTACTCTTGCATCGTCTCTCTCCCCTCCTCTTCGAACTTCGATTTGGGCCTCGATATCACGGCTTCAACAGCCAGTAGTTTTCTTCCCACTTTCTTTTTTTCACGCATCGCAGAAATGGATACCCTCAGCACAGTCACTGCACACACTTTGACCACACATGTACATGGCGTGCTCGAGAGATCTTGATGGCCGTCTTGGCTGCAGTTCCTGGGTGTGGGAGGACTAGAGTACACGAGGGGGGGGGGG